TAGCTGCAGCTGCTTCAGTGCAAGTTCGATCCCTGCCCTGGAGGTGACCCACATGGCACAGCAAATATATCCTGACGCACCAGCTGCTCCCCTCAGCAGTGTACTATGTCCATCTGCCTTCCTCCTACCCACGCTTAAAAAAAAAGAACCATGACCTGCCTCTGATCAAACTCTCACAATGAGAACAGGTTATTTCTCGTAATTATCTGGATGCCATCTTGCCTTCTGATGCCAACATAGCCCTCCAGCCCTCCAAAGGTCCTTCTCCCTTCCACTGGCATTTAGTGAGGGCTCATCTTCGCTGCTCTGCCAGGGCCAGTTCCTTGCCCTGATCAACCTCTTCCACAAGGTTTCCAAGCCACTTCCTAAGAATATCTTAGATCTAGATACCTGAGAGTACTTAAATGGCCCTGAGTGGGGGGAGGACCTTAGAGCAGCCTGCCCTTGGTGAATTGTTATGCTTTTATTCATTTTTAAGAACTTCAAGAACCCATGTGGCAATCATTGTGATATTCCACCCTTATATACTCTTGGACATGTCTTGAATACATGCCTAAGTGTAGCCAAAATACTACTCTCATATAGAAAATGAATTTAAATTTCTTAATATCATTTAATAACAGGCTATATTTTAATTCTGACAGTTGCTTCAAAAATACATCATTAACAGTTTGTCCAAACCAGAATTTCCTCCAGAGCCACACACTGAACATCGCCCCACCATGCTCAGAACACTGGGTCCGTAAAATGACCTATCTTTTACATTTCTGAGTTGATCTTTATGACATTGCTTAGCTACCTTTTCTTTTTACCTAAAAATTGATTAGCTGCAGATTGAACAATTGTGGGAAGGAATACTTCAGAGGTTATCTTATATGCTTCATATTACATCATATCAGAGGACACAAAGCATCTGGTTGATCATCAATAATGCTAAAACTGACTGCTGTTTCAGGGATTTCGCAACCTGATCCCTTGATTGTAAAGTCATGTTTAATTTGTGCATTATGGCTTCAGCCTACATGAATGAATGCCCAGTCCTTTTCCACTTAGGGATTTTATGCTAATAAATAATCTTTGAATCACTTTGGGATTTACAAAATTAGAATTTTTCCAATTTTATTAATTGATCATCTTACATAAAGGAGAATTTGTACCGAGATGCTGGTGAACAAAATTTTGTCTTTCTGAAAGAGGTTCAAACGGAGAGATAGGAAACCTAATAATTTTTGTATGAGCAACCTTTAAGAGGGAATAGGAGGTAGATAGAGCTCCTGAGAATACAATATCTACTAAGTCTGACCATCTAGCCTTACACCTCCAATAGTTTATTATATGTGAGGAGAGTCTCTTCCTTTATAACACAAATCAGAACTAACTTCTGCTTTCCTTGCTCCTTCTTAGACCCATTTTGCTGGGCAGCAGACTCAGTTTAAAATCCTCAGCCTATATCCAGGACAAAAATACCTTGTCCAGGTCCGCTGCAAGCCAGACCATGGATATTGGAGTGAGTGGAGCCCAGAGAGCTCCATCCAGATACCTAATGGTGAGTGTCTTGGCCCCCCGTTGCTTGCAACCCAAAATATTTTTAAAACAGAATGAATTTACTAAATCTTATGTAACTTAAGCCTTTATCCTAAAGGACTAGGGATAGGTTTGTCATCTTTCCCAATGCAAAGACATTTGCAGTGTAGGTTTGCTCCCTGGGTCAGGGGCTAACTAGGATGCTTTTCTATGATGAGACTGTAGACATGAGCATGGCACATGTCAGAAGTCTTGATGGCCCGTCTTCCTGCGCTCCTCATCTGCCCCATACCTATCATTCATGCAAAGTCATCATTCAGTTCTCCCACAATTTGTAAGGGGATGTCCCATTGCAAGAGCATTAACTGATTTTCAGTCTCTAATATCAATTACCATGTTAGTCTCATACAAGAGGCATGAGATAAAAGACACTTAACACTATATGTCATTGGAGCCATGGTGGGACTATTCTGCAGGGAAATAATTCACCCTCCACTGGTAATGGTTTACAATGTCTTTATTTTGTTTGGTCCTCCCAACTCTCTCAAGAACTCAGAGAATATAATATTCAGAGAGAATAAAAAGAAATAGTAGAAGTAAGAAATTGACACTTGGCTCTTGGCAGCCTAAAGAGCACTTGCATCTATACTCCAGCCCCAACTCACTAAAAACATAAAGTCCAGAGGCAGAAGGCCAAACTGCAGTGTTATAGTCCATGCCCATGTGGAAATCACTCTCTGAGTCTTAGTTGTTCTTCCTTGCACCTAATGCAATGTATGTTAAAAGTTTCTACCATTGATGGCTTTTTTATATTACTGCAACAGACCAAGTAAGCTTGGATTTCCTCTTGATGTATCACATAAAATAATCTGGAAAGTGATTTTAAAATGTATAGAGTATGATAAAACATACTAAAATTTAATAATAATGGGGAAATTAAATCCATCATTGTACTACTCTGTTTGAGGGATTCAAATCAAAGGAGACAGAAGTCAGAAGACCACTCAACGTTCAAAGGTTTCATTCCTTAGTCTTGTTTGTTTGTTCTTGATGCTGTGTGTGATCAAAACTTTCTGACTCTTTGCTTTTTAGACTTCACCATGAAAGACACGACCATGTGGATTTTTGTGGCTGTCCTTTCTGCTGTCGTCTGCTTGATAATGGTGTGGGCAGTGGCTTTGAAGGGCTATAGGTACTTTACTCTCTATCATCCCTTCTCCCAGTCAGGGTTATGAGGGATAATGGGGAAAGGACAACCTACAGAGAATTCAAGCCCCTCGCTTTAGCCATTAGTTACAATGTGTTCACCCACAAAAACCTTTTATACATGCCAACAGAATGCATTTGTTTGAAGCTGAGTACTTTTCAGCAGAGACTCACAGTTGTGAGTGACAAGCTGTCAAGAGCAGCTAAAATCAAGAGACACTAAAGTCCAAGTCATCCACTAGTTTCAGAATTAGCCTCTTCAGTTAAGCAAGCTAATTTCTACATAGAGCCCAATAGTTACTCATTGTCTTTACCATTGATTGCTATTCTCTGGAACCTCGAGCTCTAACTCCTACCAACCACAGTGCAGAGAGCAGCTACTTAAAATCAATAGTAATCTTTCCAAAATTACAACGTGAGAAAACGGTCCACTTATGCTGTCTTACATATTATTTTATAGCATGGTGTCCTGCATCCTTCCACCGGTTCCTGGGCCGAAAATAAAAGGATTTGACACTCACCTGCTGGAGGTAAGCCCAGACATAGAGAATGCAGTGAGTCACTGCTTTGGAATAATTACTGCCACACATACACACTCAGTCCCCTCCATTCATCCTGGCTAGCTCTGTCATCCAGCCCCAGCTGGCCCTCCTCTCCAGCATGGTTTATAGAGAGGTATGTGAAGCATGGAGGTGCCTCTGAGAAGACACCAGATGTTACAGGGTAAAGAGAGAATGCCATGATATTGAGAAAGACCTGGTAAAGCTCACTAGATTTACGAGGCCTGCTTGTAAGCACAGAGATAACTATTTCTAAATCAGTTTAGAAAGAGGGCCAGTTCTGTTCTTCTATGGGTCTGGCGGTCGTTGTTGAGAACCAACAAGTGAATACATTAAGTTCATTGCTAAAAGTTTGAATCTGTCCCTCACATTGTCACCCTTTTCCTGTTTCACCTAACCCCACTTTCCCTTACTCTTCTGGGCACCACTACCTGGTGTTACAGTTCAAAGTTTCTTTTGGTTTCTTTAGTTGTTCTGTGTGTTTCCTCTGTGTACCATACATGACTGAGATGACACAGTGTTTGACTATCTGGCTTAGTTTACTAAGCAAAATATGCTCTAGGTCAGTCCATAAAACTGCAAAGTGGTGGGATTTCCTCCTCTTTATCACTAAATAGTTCTCCATTGTGTATATATACCACTTCTTCTTTATCCTGTGGTCCGACCATGGCTACTTAGTTGTGCCTAGGTCCTGGCGACTGCAGATATTGCCGAAGCTAACATGAGAATGCAGATATCTCTTCCAGTTAGTATTTTCATATTTTTCAGACAAATACCCAGAAGTGGCATAACAAGGTGATAGGGAATTTATATCTTTTTTTTAGTTAAATATTTTTAGTAATTGCAATAGTTTATTTTTACATCATTTTGTGGCTTGTTCGATCTCAGTTGTAATCCCCGTGGGCTTCCCATCACCAAATCACCCGTGTGCCATCAGCATAGTCCAGTGAGGTGGACTCACCTCCCCATTTTTTATTCCATTCCCTACTCCATCCCCATAAAACATCTCTGGCGTATAATTTTTTTTTTTGGATATCAGTGTTAAGCTTAAGGTTGAATTGAAACTACTTATTTCAACCTAAAGAGAAATGTAAAAATGTTCTATCCCTCTTTTTGCTCAAAACACTTAAATTTAATTCCCTCTCAAATCCCTCAAATTCCCTCTTAAATTGTTCCTGGCAAACATGAGTCCTTCTACTCTGATTTCCCCTAGTTCTTTATTATTATTATTTTTTCCCCTGGTTCTTTATGCTCCTGCTAGGAGTGAAACCATCCAGTATTTTTCCTTTTCTTTCCGACTCATTTCACTAAGCATGATCCCTTCCAGCTCTATCCATGTTGCTGAAAAGGGCACGAGTTTCTCTTTTTTGGTTGCTGAGTAGTATTCCATTGTGTATATGTACCACATCTTTTTAATCCAGTCATCTACTTTTGGGCATTTGGGTTGTTTCCATGTTTTTCCTGTTGTAAATAAAGCAGCAATAAACATGGGGGTGGGGGGGAGGCAGGTGTTTTTTTTTTTTGAATCAGTGTTTTTGTATCTTTTCGATAGATACTAGGAGTGGGATTGCTGGGTCACATGGAAGCTCCATTTTTAGCAGTTTGAGAAACTTCTAAACAGTTTTCCATAGCGGTTTGCTTGCATTCACCCTGATTTCTCATAGTAAAGAATTAGGAACCCAGTCTAGTGCTTTTAAGCCCACTGGCCTTTTTAGAACCAAAATAAACATCTCAGCTAACTAATGTAACTATTATCAGCTAGCAATTTAACCTTGTACCCACAAAGACTTAATGATAAAATGGCTGCCTTTTTAGTGAGATGGTCTTATATTTGTAATCATGTTACCTTTAATCTTCATAAGAACTTCCCCAAATAGGCCTTATAAATCCCATTTTATAAATAGGAAAATTAATAATGGAACCAGGCAAAAAAATAACAATAATAATAAACAGCCATATACCAGAGACATTTTGTGGGGGTGGAGTGGGGAATGGGATCAAAAACGGGGGGGTGGAGAGGGAAGTGCACGGGATTATGGTGATGGCATATAGGTGACTTGGTGATGGGAAACCTGCGGGGATTACAGTTGAGATGGAAAAAAAAATGTACAAAGTGATGTAAAAATAAACTGTTATAAAAGAAAAAAAATAGGAAAATTAAGGCTCACGGAGCAGCATGTCCAAAGTTATAATAATAAGTGAAAGAGATGATTTAGGCACCAGAGTCTGACCTAAGTCTTAAGATCAGGAAGAAGAGTGGAAAGTAAGAGGTGGAGACAGGAGGAAGAAAGAGGAAAGAAAGGAAGAGGAAAAGGAACAAGAGGAAAGAGAAGGATGTGGCATAAGAAGAAGGAAGGGAGTGGAGAGAGAAGGGAGGAAATGGAAAAGAAGAAAAAGATAGGATGAGAGGGGAACAGAGAAGCGGGAAGAGGAAAGAAAGGGAGAAACATGACTCAACTTTTTTTTTTTATTTATTTATTCATACAAGATCTGGGGTACAGGCCAGAGGTGCAGTAGGTGAGAGGATTCACCAGAGACAGAGTGAGGAGCAGAACAAGCAGAGCGACTGAAGGCAAAACAGGAGCAGGTCTATTGCGCCATGTGGGTCACCTCCCTGGCTGGGGATTGAACTCACGCTGCAGTGGCTGCAGATAGCTTTGATTTAACCCATTGTGACACCAGAGAGGGCCCAACTTGACTTCTGCCAGACTCTTGATAAAGTGGTGGGGAAGTTAAGAGACCAGAAACCAATCTCAGATTCACTCTGCCAGCCCAATGTAGAATTCATGCACACTGTGATTTTAGGTTTGGTTTTGTTTTTGCTTTGTTTTTCAAAATATTTGATTGAGGTAACACTGGTTTATATCACTGTTTGTATCTTGGCAGTCTAGGATTAACCCCTTCTGGTGATGGCACCTCAGCACACACACTACCAAAGTACCCACAGTCAGCCAACATCATGCACTCTGCTTCCTCTCCCTTTGAGTTCACCCCTCCCCGTTCCCTTTCCTCTCTGAAAGCTTCATTTCTGTAGTCTGCTTTATTTTGGTCCTATCTGACCATTTGTCTGAACAGTTAACTATGGAAACAACCTATGTGCCCCAAAACACATGAGTGGGTCAAGATGTGGTCTGTAGACACAATGGAAGGTTATTAGGAGATCAAAAAGGTAAACATGGATGGAGCTGGGTGGGTGATGCTGAGTGAAGTAAGTATTGCGGTTTTAGAAGCTTAACAAGCTTTTCTCACTTAATAGTTACATGGTTATTAGATGGGTATAGACTCCTTGCCCATAAAGCTCATGATCTCTATTGCTTAGAGACTAAGTTAAATAATGAGTTAACTTGGAAAAAAAAATTGGATAAAGAGAGAAGCAGGTGATTCTAGATAGCCTGGTAAATAAATATAAGAAATTTGGGAGAGTCTGCGAAGACACTGCCACATCGCACCTGCCCACAGCCGTGCGCCCACGTGCGGCTATGGGGCTGACCTCCCTACCGCATTTTGATGCTAACGGCTTTCTCTCCCTGTTCTTCTCACAGAAGGGCAAGTCTGAAGAACTCCTGAGTGTCCTGGGGTGCCAAGACTTCCCTCCCACTTCTGACTGTGAGGACTTGCTGGTGGAGTTTCTAGAGGTGGATGACAGCGAGGACCAGCAGCTGATGCCTCCCCACTCAAAAGAACACCCAAGTCAAGGAACAAAGCCCACCCATCTGGACCCCGACAGCGACTCTGGCCGGGGAAGCTGCGACAGCCCTTCCCTTTTGTCTGAAAAGTGTGAGGAACCCCGGGCCAATCCCTCAACATTCCACACTCCCGAGACCATTGAGAAGCCAGAAAATCCCCCCGAAGCAAATGTTCCCAGCACCCGGAAAGCCCAGAACCCAAGCTCGGAAGGCAAAATCGCCTGTTTACACACCAGTGGATCCAAATCCTCAACGTGGCCTTTGCCACAGCTCCCTGGGCAACACGACCCCACATCTTACCACAGCCTTGCCGATGTGTGTAAGCTGGCCGTGGGCGCAGCAGGGGCCTCCGCCACTTTGTGGGACAAAACAGACAAACATGCTTTGAAATCCTCAGAAAACACAGAGACTGGAGAGGAGGGAGTGGTAGCCGAGCAGAGGAAGGTAGAAAACTTGTATCTCAAGACTGATCACACCACAGCATGGCCGCTGCCCCAGGGCAAGAGCCCTGTGGCTTCTGCGAAACCCTTGGATTATGTGGAGATTCACAAGGTCAACAGAGATGGGGCTCTGTCCTTGCTCCCCAAACAGAAAGAGGACGCAGATGCAACAGAGAAGCCCGGCACTCCGGAAGCCAGCAAGGAGTATGCGAAGGTGTCCAGGGTGATGGATAACAACATCCTGGTCTTAGTGCAGGATCCACGAGGTCAAAACCTGGCTTTATTTGAAGAACTAGCCAAGGAGTCTCTGCCCTCTCTCCCACAGGAGCAAGCAGAGAAAGACCTGACCTCCTCCCCTCCTACGCCAAGCCACTGCAGACTGCAGCTCGCGGGGCTGGATTACCTGGATCCCGCAGGTTTCACGCACTCTTTTCAGTGATCTCTTGATTCACAAAATGATTGGTCCAAATGTGATTTTTCTTCAGGTAACACTACAGAGTACATGAAATGCAATCCACTAGAGAATGTTCGAGAATGCAGTCAGAATGACACTACTAAAACTCACAGTTCACGCCTTTCCATGCTCCATGTTCAACCAGTTGCCTCTTTCTCCAGTAGCTGATTCCAGAACAAATCATTTTGTTTCCTAACTGTGATTTGTAGATTTATTTTGTGCCATTAGTTATACAATTATGTGTTCGATGAAATAAAAGCACATTGCTTAGTTTTCTTAAGGGACAGTGCCAATAGGTATAGCTTCTGGGAAGGGCTTTCATGGTTGGGTATGTGACAGAAGGAAATGAAATAGTCAAAACTGTTTACCACAGGAAGATGACAGATAGGAGGAAAATGCCATGAAAACCACTTCTGAAACCCAATTACTTGACCTTTGCACTCCTCTTTCATTTTATTAGGATGAAAACCAAATAGAACACGATTTTTAAATAAGAATGCATTCCAGAACACCTGGCAAATTGTTTACATCACTTCCTAATACCTTGGTGATGCATTACGGATATGCAAGTAAAAATGATGCCTCCAATTCTTTAACTAGTTCGGATTCTTAAGCATAGATTTCCCCTCTCCCCCCCCCAAAAAAAAAACTGTGTTTCATTCTAAAGCCTCTAGAGAGTATAGTTTTGGAAGTAAAATTTTCTTACATGAGAGGCAAATGAATTTCCTGTGTTGAGTCCTTCTAGAATGTTTTCCTGCTACATGTCAGCACGATAGATACTTTATTATAGACCCTAATCTTCTCTTAGTGAAAAAAAAATCCCCAAAGACTAACTTCAATTTAAAAGATAATCACAGCAGGATGCTAATGGAATACTGCCTTACTGTACATATAAATTCTACTTTAATATAAACCCATAAGTTTCACAATGTATTTTTGAAGAGTATTTTTCTATCACTTCGGTAAAACAAAAGACTCTTTTCTATCTTCCCAGTACAGCTGTTTACGTATTCAGTGGGTACAGTGTTTTCTGCTATGAGGTTATAATGAGTATTTACAGTACATATTAGTGTATGCCGTCCTTTTGTGGAGTGAAATGCCATACCAACCCAAAGCCCATGGAGAAATATGAAGCAGCTGAGAATAATCAATTTCTGACACAGGGTAATACAGTTTATGATGTTTTTTATCTCCAGGATATGTTCAACAACAACCACCAACCTAGTGTTTTAGGGTTCTCCACACACCAAAAATGACTTTGCCCTCTGGTTTAGAACTACTCAGAGGCTTCTCCTCTTCTCTGGGGGAATCTTCATAAAGCACTATGAATAAGGAGAATGGGTCTATCTAATAGATTGTGTCCAAAAGAAGGGTTTGGTTTGGTTTTTCTGAGCTGTCCTGGGCCACAAAGATATTAAGCCAGGAGTTCATAGGTCTCCAGAGTAGGTCCACTTGCAAACTCTCAGCAGAGGCAGAAACAATATGAGAAGCATCCAAATAAATATCTAAGAAACCAGGCATCTACGGAGCAGTGGGAACCAATGGTGTTGCAGTGAGAATGTCTGAGTCTGTCCCAAGATGGACTGCGGCCATCTCCCCAAAAGCAGTGGAAAGCTTGGATTGCCATTTTTAAAGAGACTGCCCGTGACTTGTGGAACTGCCTTTTCCATTCCTAAGTCCACTCTCTAGCTGAACTTGGAGCACTGGCACTCACGTCTTAAGTTAAATATTCCACCACAGCCAACCTATTCTGATAGAAACTGGACTCATGATTAGTCTGATGTTCGGAAGTAACATGTTATCAGGATTTTCAGAATTGAAGAAGCAATATATTGGATGCTCTATTCTCCCAATAGATAAATATCTTAGAAGTGAGGGGAATATTTGGGAAAGTTGCCCGAATTCATTCATGCTACTCACAATATGTTCCAGTGACTACTTAGAGTGGCATCGCCTGCACACTGCGTGGAAATGCAGACCTCAGCACCTCTGCACCAGAAATACAAATCAGAATTGATTCAGATGCATGTGGAAGCTTGAGAAGCAACACCCTAAATGACCATTTCCACTGCAGTTTATTTTAGTGCACGAGGCCATCCTCTCTTGGAAAGTACAGGTCAAGTCTGACTGGCTTTCCCTGAACGATACTATATGTAAGAAAAAGGAATATATTTTAAATCTACACACGATTAAAGATTCACTGATTTGTAGAGAATGATCTGTAAAAGTACATACAACTACGAAGTATATATTCCATTTTGGGAGGAAATGGTCAAGTCTGCCCCTGAAAACTGATACAGAATAAACCTTTCTCCAAATAGTCCACTCCTCTCCAAGATGTATAGCAATCACTCAGAGTTTGAAAAATAATTTAAAAAAATGTGCTTTTAATGTATCAATTGGTATATATGGGTAAATATACTATGGCTGAAGACTCAACTTGAAATAAATGCCCAAATCCCAGCAATTAGCTACTCATTAAGTAAAGCCAAGAATACAATTCTTTGGTCTTTCTTTAAAATAAGAGTTTTGATGTTGTTGATTTTGTTTTTATTTTTGTCTTTGTTTTCATGGTCTAATATATTTTCTATCCAGAAGACAAATGCAAGGAAGCAATCTGTTGGTTACGGGACTCAGGTTCTAGTTCTGTGACTATTTGCCTTGGACAGATCAATTTCCTCCTCTGGGCCTCAGTTCTTCTAAAGGACATGCTGGACCAAATGCTTTCTACTGCCCTTTTAAACTCCAACTCCTTGATTCCATGACTCACTGGATATTTTCTAGTGAAGATAATTTAAAGCAATGCCTGTACCTTAATTAAGATATTAAATAGCAACTCCTGTTCTGTGAGGTACTCCTTTTTTATTTCACTTTGAGTCATCAGGGTCTTAACATATCTCACATGCATTAATTATGTTGGTACAGTTTCAGTTTATGGTCAAATATTGTATAGAGAGGCATAAGTTTGGCATAAGATTTTTTTAAAGACACTGAATGAGACTTTAATTTTCAGGAAAAAAAATTATCTTTTTCTGAATCAAGCCATGCTCATTCCTTGTTGAGTCCAGCCATCCCAGATCTCTTTTCTTATATCTGGTTACCAATCCTGGTTTATTTATTTGCTTCTTCTCTCATCACAGATCACAAACCACTATTGCACAACTGTTTGAAGGGACTTTATGCTCCAAGCTATGAAAAGTCATATTTTTATAAACAAATACCTGGTATTCAAGTTACTAAGCACTTTGAAACTGGGGCAAGCGAGTGGCTGATGTGTGGAGGCTTATGACCCAAACTCAAAATGTTTTCTCTTCAGTTTTTAAAAATGGGTATAACACACCCCAATATGAGCACAAGTGATTATCAGCCATGTGATTCACACAAACTCCTCTCCTAAGTGCCTGAGACCATTCCTGGTAGACAGTCAGTACTGAAAGCCTGCTCTCACTGGTTTGGTTCAAAGGGGATTGATCCCTTACCATCTCGACAAGATCAAGGAGCTTAATTTATTTTCTTGCAGCGACCCCACTGAATCAGGAGTGAATGAAAACCCAGGGCAGCTGGGCTCACTGGACTGAGAAAATCCAACCATCTGCTGGAGGTTGCCACACCCTACCCAACACTTTCAGAAAGACTTGGCCTGCTCTAGTAACTTCCCTCTTTCCTTAGAGTACACAAGAAGGAAACAGAATCATACACAATATACAAAGTGCCTTTCTTTACTTTTATAAAGAAAAAGTTTTATTTTGGCAAGAAAAGTGTATCCATTGGGAAAAAAAAAACAGCTTATTTATGGAAATGCAGGGAGGAGCCAGAAAAGAAAATGACAGAATGTTCAAAGGCCCAACCAACAGCTGTTCAGTGGATTATTTTATCATTTAATTGAATTACCACAGAACTGATGATGTGAATAGCATAACTCCCTTTGACGCTGGGGCGGGGGGAAGGGGGACATACAGGAGTAATACCTGCCGCCCTGTGATTCAAGACTCTCAGTTTTAAAATATATGGATGCACATTTGAAGACCTTTGAATTGCACTTCTGGGTTTGCAGACGAAAATGCATGCACAGTGGAATTTTGTACACAGAATCAAGCAAGTGACTCTGGGTTACCAATCTCAGCATTGCTACTATAGATTTGCCATTGATGGAAGTCTCCTATGTACTTCAATGAACGCATTTCTTTTTCTGCCTTTTCAGCTCAAACACAAGTGTGCTATTGCTAGAGAAGTGTGCTGAGTACTCTATCTCCATGTCTGTAGGTTGTGTTACTACTGTGGAACAGGCTGAGGTCCTTATGCAAGTCTTAAACTCTAGTCACAGTTCTCTCACCTGTTCCAGAAGTGGGTTTGCTTAAAAGGTCCTAAGACTCCTCCCAGCTCAAGCTGTGTCTGATTCACATGATCTAAGTCAATCAGTCTCAAGTCAGCATCCTGCTGCAGCACGGAAAAGCATGACTGATGTGCTCTTAGCCTGCAGTGAAGTGTGGCTGTGAGTTGTGTAGCTTAGGGAGAAACAGAGATCTATTCCGCCAAGTCAGATTTGACATCCTTGCTTCTCTTTTTAGCTTTTCACGCTTGAAGATTTTTTATCCTCTCACTCTATCGTTGTATGTTTTCTTAGAGTTAACTGTGTGCCATTGCAAACATAGGAGCTACAAAAAACTAAATGATTCATAAGCCAGAATTATTTGGTCCTGCATGGATGGAGTTAATGTTCAGTCAGCCTCCTGAAATCAAGGCCCAGGTTGAGGGTCACATGTTACCTCACTTCAAGATTTTGCATGCTTACAGATTGTAGCTCAGTTGATGGATTCAAAGGTCATTTTAAAATCCAGGCTACACTGGTAACACAATCCTGGAGATCTTAAGCAGAAACTTAAAAGTACAGAATGGTCCTCCCTGGTGGTGCAACAGGCTAAAACACAGCACTGTGAAGCTATCACAGCCACTGCAGCACGAGTTCGATCCCCTGCCAGGGAGGCGACCCACATGGCGTGGCAGACCTCTCCTGACCCACCTGCTGCTCCCGTCAGCAGTGTATTTCAGTACATCTGTCTCTTCTGTTCCCCACTCTGTCTCTGGTGAATCCTCTCACTACCCCCCCAATCTTTGGCTGGTACCCCAGTTCTGTATGCATAAATAAATATTTAAAAATACAGAATGATGACTTCAGAGCTTGTGAGCTAATCAAGAGTTCTATTTATAATTATGGCCTGAACTTTGCCCGAAAATACAATACATGCCGTCTGCCAATCAAACAGGAGTTTTCTTCCAGGCTTAACTTTTCAAGAAGGGGACTGTTGGTCCAAGAGCCTTGTGGTATCTATTTTAAGGAAAGGCAAAAGAAAGAAAATAGAACATTTCCAGGGGTTTGGGTATTTCAAGATTCCATATAATGCTGAGTAGCCCACCAAACACAAATTTAACTGGATACAGAGACTGTAGTCTAATCTGTGTTCTGAGTTTAGGGCTAAGGGTTCCACATGACTCAACATACCTGCCCCTGTTTAGTCCACAGGGACACCTTAGACTGATACTGTGACTTCAGTTTAAGAACCACCGAGATATGGAAAGTAGAAACACTTATCCCACTTGGAGTCAATGAATAGAGACCCTGAATCAACTGGTTAGCTTTTCACCTACCA